CATTGTTTATTTTTAAGTCGTATCGTCAATATATGATAGACTGAGAACGCAAAATAGCAAACAAGTTTGTTTTCGGTGCTACATCAATTGGCTAAATACAGCACAATTTATGATAGATTAAACAATCGGCGAGAGGAGACAAATGTATGCGAAGGAAATCGGAGTTAAAAGAAAAGTAATGATTTGTGATTATTGATGTTTGTGAATGTGTATATCTGTGTGTATGCGTCCAAAGGGGAAGATAGAGGGTGGTTTTGAATGGGCTATTAGGTGAATGGGTGAGAGTTCTTGGACGGCGGTTACGTCACCAGAATACGAAATGTTTTTCTTGAGAAAATATGTCCTGAGTCATTCATTCATAAAAGCATAACAACCAAACGACTATGAGTATTCAACGGGAATAATTTCGTATAGATATCCATTTAATGTCGAAGTCATTTCCCCTGTCCTTCACACTGTGGTAGTGGTGCACTGATTTAGTCGCTGTCACCGGCGTGCTTTGGACCACGTGGTCCGAGGTTCGAGCACCGGCACCGCCACCCAACTTTGGTGGTAGGCAGCTTTGCTGTTGTCCGGTTCAATACCACGCTTAACTTAGCGGGGCCTTAATTATTTCGTCACTAGAAGTCCCCGGAGATTAGGTTACCGATTTACATCACTGACTATGGAGTTTACTGTCTGCTGTTCATCACACGGTGTCTAATAAGAGGTAGCTGGGGGTAACTACAACGTCAATAAATACCGCCTCAAACTTACGGCTTTCGCTTGCCATAACATTCCATTGCAATCATGGCATATGCGAATTGCCATTCCAATTGCATCTCCAAAATGTTATGGTGCCAAACAGCTTCTAATATTGTTTTGCCATAGTTACTGAATGCGCTCTTATTTTGTGCTGTGTTAGAGATATTGGTGGCTTGCACAAGTTCATCGATTCCCTGGTTCTATTGGTTATTGCCTTAGGCTAACACATGCAACTGCCCCCAACTAAAGAATATTTTACGAAGACGGCCACATCGGCATCTTCGGAGATTCCAATGATGATGCATTGAAAGATGCAGTATCGCCCCAGAATAACACGGTGCCTCGGAACCACGGAAAGGTTCTAATGATGGTTAACCTTTTTATTCAGAATAAGGCTTCATACTGCTTAACTGACCGATGCCATCTTCCCTAATCAGCTTAATAAGTGTTTTTATGGCTATATGATGCTTCCTGATTTTTTGTATTTATGTATTTCACGGATAGGCACTGAATAAATTTCTAATGACACTGTATGCGGCTTAACACTGGAATGCTTCCATCAGTTTAACTACCTTACCGAGTTAACGAGATGCTAGGTGGATTCCATCAGGCCTTGGGGAGTTGCATCCAGTTCTGTTAACATTTTTTGGTCTAGTTTATGGAGTCCCCGATCCATACTGTAGACAAGTGAAGTCAGTGTAATACTCATTTGCCTTTCCATCGTCGGTGGTGAGGTACAGGTTGTGCTGCTGAGTGAAGATCCGGGTAAGGTGCAAGCTTTTCTAGATGGTTTATATGCTAGTATGGCCATGTTCAGGATGCGTTTTGCACCTTCAAAGTGTAAAATGTTGCTATAGGTCTGGATTTTTCCAGCTCCCAGCCTCACTCCAACTGATGAATCAGTCGGGGAAGTAAACAATTTTTGCTTTTCAGGAATCGATATTCCAATTTCCGGATGCTTCACAAATGGAGTATCAGCACACATACAAACTGAAACGAAAGGCGTACAGAACGCTCGATTAGCATTTGCCAAACGAAGACATCTGTAGGACCGTCGCGACACCCGGCGGTCTGTTTAACGTTGATTGTATGCTGCAGCAGTTCGGCCAGTGCTGCTTTACAGTGCAGAAACTCGCCCATCGCACAAACAGAATACAAACTGACCACGCCGCATTAGACAAGTTTAGTGAGGAAAACGGACAAAAAATGCAGAGGTTCGACGCAAAGTGTTAACTAATCGCAGTCGTCCAGTGGAGCAAGTGGTTAGCCTCCGTGGATGACGCTGGTTGGTACACGTGTTGCGCATGTCACCAAACAGAGTAACACGGCAAGCAATGTTTACTGAGACAGAAAGTGGTCGGGAAAACGTCATTGGCGGTCAAACTAAGACTTGGTATGAGGGTACGAAAACCTTAACCATTAGACTCACTCATATAGGCCCCTGGATAGGTGGTATGCCGCGTTGCTGCTGTCCGGTTCAACACAACACCTTACCTAACGGGCCCTTTTGTGGTTCGCCGCCCCGAGTCCCGGAGTCTAGGTTGCCTTTTTCATTACTGAGCTATAGGTCTTTGTGACAGTGGGGTCCGCCTCGTCTACTGTTCATCACACAAGTATGTAATAAAAATAACCAGTGACTAGAGATACTGGGTGATTTGATTGACTGTCGCATACAGTGGCACTCGTGCATATGCTCATTGTTCTTGCAACCCCAGTCTATATGAATTCTCTATATTTTCTTTGACTCTGTCCTCAACATTAAAATCTTCATACTGCTGTTTTATCCGAATAGCAACTCTAAATACAGCAACCAAAACAGGTGCACGAAAGTGCATTTTAAAGGTTGTAAAAACTGAAACTGAATTGTGTTTTGACTTTCGTAAAAACCTACCTCATATTCACAAGTTTTCAATCTGTAATTTCATACACTGCAGTATAAAAGCCTTGATTTTAACGTTTGACCAGTTGGATCGACACATTGATCGTCGACAAATTGTCAAATTCGGTTAGCCCATCATTGCTGAATCCAACTATGTGACTCATGAAATAGAGCAGAGTCTTAGGCTAAGAGCTCTGCAATAGACGTGTAGGTGAATCTCGAGATCAAGTTAGATGTGCAGTGTATTCTACAGTGATTGTCACTTGTGTATCTGAGTATGAAGCCCTTTAGAGGTACCAGAGTTCTCACAAACCAGTAACCTTAATGAAGATGAAGCGCCAAATCCCGACCAGTCAGGATCAAAACAGGGTTACGCGGCATCTATAACGTAAACCCATGAAGAACCATGAAAACTCATGGCCAAAAATAGCTAGTGAAATTGGAGTAACTGCTGTATCACGAAACACCTAAACTGTTCCAACTGATACGCAACACCGGGAGCCGGCTGACCTCGCTTAGTGAAACAATCTACAATAAAATCGAGGATACTGAACTTCCCGCAATTTCAACTTAAAACTGAATCAGTTATTCATGAAAAGGTACATCGGTTCGATCGTTGGATGGAGTATTTTAGGCAGCAGTTCAACCGGCCTAGCGTTTGCTAGGTTACCTCGTCTGTGGGCGGTTTCTTGGGGGAATTTATGTAGTTATCCACTCCAGTTCCCTTGGTTTGGGTTGCCGGTTTCCACAAGTGAACAACTGGTCCTCGTAGCTGTGCTATTTAGCCGTTCTTCACACAACTGTGTTTAACAAGATGAAGTGTAATGTAATCCCCTGAAAGAAGCAAGAATGCGGTCTTGTGTTTAAACGCTAAGGACAGGAAAAGCAGCTGAACCTGATCGGTTTCCTCCCAATGTTTTAAGACCGAGTGATAAACTCACTGACGTACTACAGATCTGGTTTCAGGAGCATATTGCGTTACCTAGGGGAGAATTACTGATTGTTGCAATTTTCAAGAAGGTATCTCACAGCTGAAGCACAAACTACCCATTCGATATACTTTGGTATCTAAAGCTCCTAGCTATCCTTATTATTGATACATCGCACGTATCTTATTCAACACCATGTACCAAGTGAATAATGGTGCAACCGGAACCTTCAGCTAACCGAAGGCTAATTCGCGATACAACTGAACGTTGCTTGAAAACCGCAATCCTTTGGGAGCCAGTGTCCAGTTAATCGGGTAATACACCCTTTGGACCGGGTCAAACGTCTGATGTGCCCAATCGAGCCGATGACCATTACTACAACCAGGATGGTATCTATGTGTTGTTGGTACGCCTCTGTTTTGTTGATTTCGAATCAGGATTTTTAGTTATCCTCTCTGAATGAATTGCTAGTGGTTCACCGACTCGGCTATAACACCATACGTTGGATTTTCGTCCTCCCACATCCGTGAGAAGATATCCCCGCCAAGTGAGGTTAGTGAGTCGGGCTTCCTTAGCAGAGGCTGTTCGAGATACTTGGTCTCATAGGAGCGCGTTTTGTGATATGCAAGGGAAGCATGATAGCAATCCACGACACCTACCCCAACTATATTGAGGCTCATCCCAGTTATCTTCCATTTCCCCGTGTTTAATTGTCTCACCCCCTTTTCACTCTGTTCTGTACCCCAATCCACCTGTCCCCTTTTATTGTTATTGTAATTATTGTTGTTACGTTGGCACCGTGCTTGTCTAAAAGCCGGTGGTAAATAATAATATTAATATTGAGGCTTTCGGAGGCTAAACCTTTAAGGTAGAACAATGCTAGCTAATAACAGGTCGGATAACGACCCGGTCGTGCTTATAGTGATCAAATTTTTGCGTTGCATCAGGTCCTTGAGTTGCTTTGGATGTATCGCAGACCAACAGTAGCCGTGTCTCCTGATCTACAGATCGATTGCGAAGCTTCTTTCAGTTTTCTTCGCCGGTTTCTGTCAACGAACAGCAGGTCTTCGTGACTGTGTCCACCACGTCTGCTGTTCATCACACAAGTGTGTGTAACAATAAATTAAGGAAGTGGCGTTAATATTATCACATAATGGGTTTTATGCTAGTTATCTAGCTGAAAACAAAGGTACCATGTGCTGCAACATGACAAAGTAAAACGCATCTTGTCTTCCTTTTCTGTCTATTTCCTCTAAATTGTCAAGAATACTTGTCGCCTTTGTGCAATACTCACGGTTACCTGAATCAAATTTGTTTTCTTTCTTAAGAAATCTGGTCAGTTTTTCTTTGATGATCGGCAATCCTGTGCCATGTTTTTATTTTATCATTCATATTTCGCACCCATTTGTTCTAGAACCGGTGGAAAGGATATTCAGTTTTCCCTGCGTGTCAACGGTGAGATGTCGGAGGGACTGCCGAACAAGGAAGAAGCCTCGACCTCGGCAGTGAACGGAAATCCGGTTCAGTCAGAGAACCCTAATCAAAGTGTATCATTCAATCTGAAGGACCCTGATTCTCCTTGCGGGACATTCTTCCCTCGGCCAACTATAATAGTTGAGAAAGATAAACGCTTACAGTGCGGTCTCCTTGAATGGCGTCCGCGGTGTTTGATGGGTGCAGGAAATATCAAGGCCTTCCTGGCAGCCGCATGTTTCATATCTTGTCTACAGGCTGCTTATTCCGGTTACGCTGCATCTCAGGTGACCACCCTGGAAAAACGCTTCGCTGTTGGCAGCAGCGTGATGGGTGCTGTTAATTCATTCTTTGAAATAGGATATATATTTTCAGTTGTGTTTGTTAGTTACGCAGGTGGGCGGGGCCATGTTCCGGTATGGATTTCTTGTGGGCTTTTCGTGATGTCAGTTGGTGCAGTACTGTGGTCGTTACCCCACTTCATCTTTCGAGAACCTACATCAATTGTGGAATCAAGAACAAGTGAACCTATATGCGTTACACCGTCCTACGAACCAAATTGTACCGGCTCCAGCTGTGTTACATCACCAGTATCTTCATCGGAAGTTGATGGCAGTGTATCAGGATACGCATTTCTGCCTATATTCTTCGCAGCCCAAATGTTGATTGGGGGTGGATCGAGCCCGATTCTCACACTGGCTCCGCCTTTTATTGATGATCACGTGCATCCAGCGAAGGCACCGCCCATGATCGGTAAATCTTGTCGTTTTGTTTTACGCAGTAATCTCATCAGTCCTCGACACTCTGCCATAAGCTGTATTTCATGGTGCGTTGCTTTTGTACTGACAGATTTCAAATGGGTTTTACAAATATCTTCGCTTAGATGGCTTCATCCCCCCCAAATGAGTGATTCAGTTTCACATTTTTTTGTTTACCTGGATTTTGCAAACATATACTCTGTTTTCACCGAATATTTCTCTTATTGAAAGTAAGTTAAAAACGTTTAACTTCACAGTGTCTTTATGGGCGATTCAACAAAGCCAAAGCTTATCATGCCCCATAGGATTTTTACAGAATATTTTGAATAACTTCACAAAGAGAAAGTAGTAATAATATGCTTGATCACTCACGGATGTCGAACTGTTAAGTGTTCCAATGCTTTATCAAGTTGCGATTTGAATAATTCAACTGTAGGAGCATACATGACATCGGATGGAAGAAAATTCCATACACCAAGCACTCTGACTGCAAACGAGTGGTGCCGCCAATCAAGGTGACTGTTCTGGGTTTTCGACTTCAACGGATGTCCCCTGAGATGATCATTTTGAGATAAAGTCAACACAACCGCAAGGGTGGTTGGGTTGATGCTGTACGTAGTATGTCAAGATTAAGTTTCTCCGAAGTCGATGACACTGAGATGATCAAAGCACCAATATTGCAGTCTTTCAGAGTATATTGTGTGTATATTGTGCTAGCGTTCGTTCAGTCCTGCTTTATGGTTGTGAAACCCTGAATTTGCGAGTAGAAGATATCCGTCGACTAGAAGTTTTCGATTATCGGTGTTTACGCAGTTTAGCCCATGTTGGATGGAGCGAACGGGTTAGTAACGTGGAGGTGAGCTGTCGTGTGTTTGGGAGTCTGTCAGGCATAAACCTGCTAGCATACCGAATTCAGATTACTGGGCTTCGGTGGCTAGGGCACGTGTTGCGTATGCCCAGCCATCGTCTACCGCACCGCGCTTTATTCGCTGCAGCTAATCCGGGCTGGAGGAAACCACGCGGAGGTCAACAGATGACGTGGTCAGAATGCTTGAAACGGTATGTATGCAGAATTCGATTGGGTACTCTGTGTGTTGACCATAGTGGCTCATCTTTTCCCTTCCTCAAAATAGATCCAACCCCTGTCGACCTTAAATTCTTACCAATAACCTTGTATGCATTGTGAGTTTGGCAGCGGTCAGTGAAATTCACTTCACAGTATTTCGCTGTACGATGAAAATGATGATGATGAGTCTTTCGGAGTATGTCTTGTTATATAGACCTTTTACCATTTTGGTTGCTAGCCTTTGCGGACGTTCTAGAACCTTGTTGTCGCGGTTCAACCCTGGGTTCCGTACTTGAACGGCGTATTCCGAATGGCCGAATGAACACTGATAGCAAGCGAAGGAACAGAGCTTTTTGGAACTGCCCAAAAGCACGTTTAAGTAGTCCAACTTTCTTTAGAACCATTGGTGATGCTTTGACACAGTGCGTGGAACATCTTACGTCCCCCTGTGCCATGACTCCCAAATCCCGTTCATCAGCAGCATGCGACAGCATTTGGTTTCGTAGAACATGGAATAAACGAGTCTTGTGCCGCATATAAATGAATTTGCATTTTTAAACTTTGAACTCAATGTCATTGGTGATTAACCATCGATGGACTGCATTGATCGTTTCTCGGAGCGCCATATAATCCTCTGGATGTGTTACTGTTCTCCAGATTTTAGCGTCATCTGCAAAGAGTAGTGTATTTATTCCAAGGACATGTGGTAGGTCGTTTATAAATGCAAGAAAAGGTCGTGGCCCTAGCATAGATCCTTACGGAACCCCTTGGACGGCAACAATAACGGTGGTCATGTATTGTCCATACCAGCTCATAGATTTCAGTTAAAGATAGGCTGACTTTTCTCTCTTTTGCTGAGCATGCGGCTCAATAGTATTTGGAAAAGTGTGTGCTGGCCGACAAGAATCAGTGAACATTCGTGGGGATTTATGGTAAGTGCGTAATATGTCTGTATCCCTCCTCCCACTTCTCCACTTCTTCCTTCTAATCCTTCATCGGACGAGGCAACCTAAATTGCCATACGAAAGTGCCTGGATAGTGTGATATAATGTAACTCGAACTGAAAAATTTATCCTTACCGGGACTGAAACCGCTAATCTTCAGGTTCATAGCGGACTCTGACCCATGAGCTACACATGGCCGCAATGTGCAGACACCAGTCTGCGAGGTTGCACAATCGATAGCAAACCATGTTCGTTTAAGACAAGAAAATAGTGGTGAACATGGATAGTATTATTGCTTACAAGGTATAACTGACATTGAAGGATTTAATATGACGAACCTAAATGTTCTTAAACGTAAATTTGGGTGTGGTTGAACTGGTGCACGCTTCTATGCTTACGTATCATTATGTGGTGAAAAGCTTCAGTTTTCACAACCATTAACTTTAAACTGTGTTGCGAAGGTTTTGGTTGTTGAATTTCAGCTACCCATTCGGTTCTCTAATGAAAGATTAAATCTAAGTGTTTAAAGTTAATCTATTTATCGAAATAAACATGCTTGATAGTAACCGGGTTGATGCTTTTGCTTGATTTTGATTTATTGAGTATTCATTCGTACAGCTGACCTTCAGGCAGGTGTAAAACAGCTGAGATGAACCTAGGGAGAAAATGATTTGGTGCACGCTATCCATTGTTTGTAACACAGGTACATCCTTCTGTCCGCCGTTTAAGTTGGTCACGAGGCCTTCAACCAAGACATCTAATGCGACCTACGTGGAATCGACCACCGATCTGGGTTTGCATAGCTTCATAAATTTTGTCCTAATCGCCCTTAATCTTCTTCCGTTCATTAACAAAACGCACGCAGAGAAAACCTATAAGGTGAAATGCGTAGCACATGTCCCACCTACCGCTTCCTGTGAGGGCCAGGCACTGACTCCAGTGTATCATTCCAATGACCTAGAACTCTGCGCTCAGCTGCAAGATTTGCTTGTCTGGTTAATCTACCAAACTTAGGCATTGTGGTGTAGACAGCGGTGTTTAAACACCCATTAACTATTTTTATCCATCAGATCTTCGTGATTATGGAGTCCACACCGTCTGCTGTTCCTCACGCACCGGTGTATAATAAAAATTCCCGTCATTGCAACGGTCAAGTTTCTGCACCGTACAGCAGCATTGCCCGAACTGCTGCAACATAAACTCGAACCTTCACGGATAAGCGAATGTCACATTGTTTTCAGGAGTATCCGAAATTGGCAACGCCTACTAAGTGTTCTAGATGTGTACCTACACGTCATCTGTGACTTCTGCACTAGGGGAGATACAGTTGCCCGTGGCACAATTTATCATTTTATCATTTCACACCCTTGCGTGATAAACAGCAGACGAAAGCCTGTCATTCAACCATGGAAACCGTCGACCTAAGCCATGGGACTTAGAATGGTGAACCACATAGGTTCGGGTTAGGTTATGCGTGGTATTAATCCGGGTGGCGGCATCAAAACTGCCTACAACAAAACTTGGGTACTGGCAGCACAGTTCAGACTTCAAGCTCTCCGGTGGCGGATACTTAAATCGCTCAACCGTCGTATCCCTACTTACTTTCCTTGTTGGAGTTAGGTTCGGAGCTGAAAAATAGTAATGACATTTTATACTTTAGTGGTGCAAAGCGCATGCCGATCATAGCTACATTGATACAGTCAGACCATCCAGAAAAGCTTGCGACTTATTTGGATATTCACTTACCAATCGACCGTTGTCTGCCTATTCCACATTGGATAACTTATCACCGTGGAGGATATTGATACCACAGTCCTCTCACTAGAATAGAGCGGTCTCTAGAATGGTATCCATTACAGTGGTTAAAAGAGAGAGGATAGCTCTGGTGAGCACCGCTATTCGTGCCAAACTCGGGAAGAAATGAGTTATGAACTCCAATACGGCTCAGTTTGTTTATATATAGAGATCAATGTAGAAAAGTAAATTTTCCACGTATATCATTCAAGAAGAAGCAGCACAGGAGTGCTGTGCTATGCGATCAACCTACCCGAATGCCGCTTTTAGATCAAGGAGGATCAAAATAGAGGATCTACTGAAGAAATCTCTGTATTTCATGACGTCGCGAAGGGTGCTGGTAAGGTCGATGCATCCTCGACTCGGTCTTGAAATTGATTCACACCCATGAACCGAACGTTTGTCGGAGACTAATACCGGCGATAATCTTTCAAGCAGTGTTATTAACCAAACCGATTCCTCTGCCGATATTACAAGAGGATCTCTGTTTCTCGTAAATTGGTGTGATAACCGATGCGTTTCATTCTTCCGGAGCTTGTTCGTTTTCCCGTGCTGAACCCAGGAGTTCAGTCAACTCTAAAACCAAAGCTCAGCGAAGGTTAATTTTGATCAATTTGAGTCCATCGCTGAAAACAGAGAAGTTTCCATGTACGGCGATGTCGTTTTTCTGTGAGAGAGGTTACTTCTCGATTGGAACAATCCGTGATCTGCGCAGAGTTGAAGTAGACGATTTCCGAGGAATGGGATTAGATTATCGATCTGTTAATACAGATGTGTTTTCGGTATCCCGATTCGGTCACAACTTTTGCGTTCATATCATACGTAGGATATTATGACGGGAGACCGCATGAGCCTTCGTTGGTTTCAGTGCGAAGAAAAGGAGCAAGGGTTCTACTCACTTTAAGAGAAAACTGTTACGCCATTAAGGGAGATGGACGGGCAAGTGAAAATAGTGGAACTAGTTAATTCAAGATCTTGGCGTTCCACCGTTTGTGCTGATCTATACATTGACTAACGTTCTGATCAGAGGAATGCAAGTATGAACCAGTCTTTGCGCCTGTGTTGAAGGATATACGTTGTTTGATTTTAAAGCAATCGCTCAGTCCTTTGGTCTCGCCGGTGAATAAGCCGTGTCGGATGCTTTGTATTTGATCTATCCCATCCAAAAGCGTTTAAAGCTATGTGGTCCTCTCCGGTGGTAGTATGCTTACGTCCTACCCGAAAATTCCCGTTTTCTACCGCTAGTTTGGTCAGTGAATTGGCGTCACTGATGAGACCCAATCAAGTAGAAACACTTAAGCAGTGTTTCCTAGCTTTTCAGTTCACGCTTCATTTCCTCTGTACACGACGAAATTCATCATATGTTCAAACCGAATACTCCATCTTTCTCATGTAAAAGTACGGACTAGGTTGAAACAATGCAGATACTTTTACACTTTCACCTTCGTCTGTTCAATCTTTCATATTTGCTTCTATTCATAGCATCTCAATATGCTGCGGCTGCTATGGGACCAGTTCTTGGGTTCGCCTTGGGTGCCTTAGTCTTGCAATATCCGGCTGAGCTGTTCGTCCCACCATCTCTAAAACCAGATGACCCCGAGTGGATCGGTGCTTGGTGGGTCGGATTCATTTTTCTGGGTACGTTGGAACGTTTTCTGTGTACGCTGTCTGCCGCATAGTACTGTTTACATCTTTGATCCCCGAACTCGCTCCAAATACCAAGTCCTTCCTGCACGTACAAAAGTGTAATTCCATACCTGGCTGGGCTCCTGGTTAATCACAAGACTATTGTCATCCACTCTTGGAATAGAAATTTCTTCTTTTACTACAGTATCAAATCTATCCTTTTTATATTGTAATTTTTATATATCCACCATACATGTTCGTAAAGTACTGAAGATTTACCCTTGGGTGCATTAACGCAGTCCTCCACTTGACTTGATACTTCTGCCTCCAATCGCTGGTACAACTAACGGTACACTCCACACTTCCCGATTCTGTTCGTACGGTTCGATGAACCGACAGTTTTACTTCCATTTGCATTATTCGCCTATCAATTGGTGAACTGACCCAAGGACAGATTGTTTTCCGTCCGCCCATCTTCTGTCCGTCTGTTTTACTTAGCCCTGCTTCAGTCAGTTGGGTTCAGGTCACAGACATCTTCCGGTTGAAACACGTTGAATGTTTCGAGTTAA